TTTCACTTATACTTCACTTATAAGTGAAGATTAGTATGGTATTAGCCAGAATAAGTGTGGACTTAGAATTTTTACACTATACTAGACTTCTCTTGAGTTGCATTGTGGGTATTCAAGCTAACCAATCAGAAACTTTGTCTCTGAAGAGATAAACAACAAGAATTTGAAACTAAGTTAGTCTCTGTGAAAGGATGTTGTTGGAGATTTCAAATTTATTTTGAGTATGCCTTTACATCAGATTCAACAAGTAGGTTCTATTCACATTATCTTTTTATTTTAACTTCCTTTGCCTGAAATTTTGATTCAATTGACTCAGTTGCTTTCAGATTTCATAAATTTGAAGAAACCTCAAGGTCATTAAATCTTAACTGATTTCTTTTTGTCACACATTTTTGTTTGTGAGCTGAAATAATATATAAAGTTTGCATCATCAAAGAATGTCATATGAGAGGGATTTTTTTTCTCATAAAATGTTAACTTAATTATTTCATCTTAGGTGAAGAGGCATATGTATATATGTAAAAAAACTTCGAACATCATGCAACCCCTGCATGATTTGTTCTAAATTAAGATCTTAGAGGCAGTGCTGTATTTCACTTATAAGTGACTCATACTAGATAAAGTATAAAGGGCTAATACTTGACTTATAAGTCACTTATAAGTGACTATACTTGCATAAAGCAAAAGTGGCTAATACTTGGCTTATAAGTCACTTATAAGTCAAGCACCTCATTTGCATATAAAATCCTAATGAGTCACTAATCAGTCACTTATATGTTAAATGTATCAGTGAAGTATAAGTCCAGTATAAACAACATACAAGTAAAAGAATAAAGCACTTATAAGTCACTTATCAGAAATTTCTGTAAGGAAGTGCACACACACTTGGGCACAAATATTTTCACAAAAGTAGCAACCTTTACAAAAAGCAGAGCAGTCCAGGTTGATGTAAATATAAATAAAACATTTTTTTCTGTCACCATTGTATTTGATGATGTATGCTTCATAACGTTAAGCATTGTTAATGGAAATGATATACCGGACACTCTGGAATGTCTAAGAACATTAGTAGATGTCAGTCAATTTGAATCGGGTTAATTTCCAGTCTTTAATGGCACAATTAAAGAAGTAAACAAAGAACATAAAACAAATATGGCAGTGTTGCTGATTTAATTTATAAATATTAAATTACTTTTAATTAATTAATCTATCTTTGACATTATGTCATCACAGCTGTCTACACAGCCTTTGTCTTCCTTGTTCTAAGTTGCCTTAGGTTTTCCCATAGAATTTTTCCCCACAACCCACGGAATCTAACCATTTCAAATAAACTTGAGGTTCTTGCCATGAGTACATACCTGGTATGCTCTGGGTGGTAAATGCTTGGTTTTGGGGCTGCAGTTTCAGAACATCGTTCACGAATTGGTCTTTGTCACCGATGTTTAGGGCCTGCCCTTAGTCCTTGGCGAATGGATTATTGCCACTGTTGTTGGTAGTGTCCTTGTTTTTGATAGCGGTAGCTCCGTCCGGGAACGTCGTCTTTACCGCATGCAACAAAAGTTTTTTCTGCCCATGTGGAATGTCTGTATCATGTAAATCGTCCTCAGTGAGAAGGCTTAATGCCTCTATTGAGTCAAATCCTAATTCGAGAAGACTCTCTATAGTTTTTTCCGACAGTTTTTTGTCTGTCGCCCATTTCTCTACTTGCGTCACAATTTGGACTTTTTCGTCTTGTCCCTGCATCATGAATATACTAAGGTCACTGAATAAAAGTCAAACAGGAGCACAAAGCAAAAGTCTAATAACCTCTGTGTGCAGATAGAGAGCACTCGCAGACGGGAGACACGGGTTCACAGAAGAAACACCCCTCCCAAAAAGCAGAACAGTCCAGGCTAATATAAACTAACACTTTGTCTTTGACTCTGTTGCACTCAATGATGTAAGCATCGTATCATTTTTCCTCGTCGCTGTATATAATATACCAATCAGGAATGTCTAAGAACATTCAGAGATGCTGATAATCCGCCATTTTGGATCAGAGGTATTTCCCAGTCTATAAATGGCACAAATAAAGTCACAAAGTTCAAAGGGCGTTAAATAACATCACAAAAATTGCACCTTCGATTTTGTTTGACATCACACCATATACATGTATAAGGTTTACTGGTGTTGTTTATATAAAAATTTTGCAACAGAAGGCTAAAAAATTTTGACGAGGTCTGTGTGCACCAAAAAATTTTTCAAAGTGACACTAAAGTGGTAAGTCTTTCCTAATCTTTTGAAAATAAGGCAACCTGATTAGTCAGAATTTAAAACGCTGTCCAGCCTTAATTTCATTGGTGTAAAGCAACACAAAACAAGATTTGATTGGATGGTGCAACTTGTTTTTCTCGGGGACAATGTGGCAACCCTGGAAATGAAAATAGGACTGGGGCTTGCCCCTAGGGGGCACTTACTGACCGGAAGTAAACAAACAATAGAAATAGCAATACAAATGGCATCACTTTCAAATTTGATTAATAAATATTAAATAACTTTAATCTATCCAGTTCTCAAACAATTGAGGAGGTCCTCATTTGTAAAATCTCTGTACACTTAAATACAAAGAATCATGTGTGTCTGTACTTGCTAAATGGTATACACAGTAGTTCTTATGATCCTTCAGATCTGGTGGAGATGATTTCTGATGGAAGAAATAGAATTTTTAATTGTTTTCATCTTCTATTGTTTTTGGATTTGAAAATATGCCTATCCAACAGCACAAATTTGATTGCTTTAATTTGAATTTTGTTCACTAGACTAAAAAAAAATATTTTTCAGCAAGTTACTTAAAGCCTACGTCATGTAGTTGTGAAAGTTCTGATGAGCAGAGATTAAAAAGGAATATGTTTTTAAAAATACTAGATCATTTGATGCAGTACTTGTATTGCCTCTGTCGGAATACTCCCCATTGTTGTGTTTCTAAAAAAAATGTCAACGAGGGAAACATTTAAATGACCAATTCTTAGAGAAAGTGAACAATGACTTGTAATATTCAAGGTCTTGAGTTGAAATTTAAGTTGAAAAGCAGTTCTGTTGAATTACTTCTGATCTTCTTTTCTGTATAGTTCCCCAACTACTCTTTTAAGCTCGTCAACCTTTTGGCAAAGATGAACAAAAGATATGGCAATTTGAAGACATGCCATCTGCTTCAAGTTGTGTAAAGGGTTGAGAAGGGTAAGGGGGGGGGTCTGTTGTTGTTGCCACAGAGTTGATCATAAGCCACCATCACAGCTGATGTTCAAGACTTGGGCTGTCCATGTTTGTGTGTGGGCAGTCTTGGTGTATGTCCAATTTCCTGGTATGGTTGGAACTGTTGTACAAAGGAGATGTATGAATCATCCATAGCTATATATCTAGGGCTACAAGAGGCCTTGGTTGAATAACCTCTGATACTATGAAAACATAAAAGTGATACTGATGTAAACAATAAATTTGTACAAATTTCAAACAAAGCAAATTTGCCCATGATGGATGCAATTATATCAAAATTAATATCGGTAACATTCCTATAATGTATAAATCAGAAATTCTTATATCATTTTTCAGAAGAGTCTGAACATTCACTGCTTCAAGCCTTGACAGTAATTACTTGTACTGTTAGTTTCCAGGTGTTGGTTCTAATCACTTGCACTCTTAATTTTGCAGTAGAGATAATTAATTGCATACAATTGTTTAAGATATTTAAACATCTTTAAATATTTGTCTTTATGCATTCAGTTTTGAATGGTATGTTAGGGTGCTAAAATTTGTAATTCTCTTTCAGAAGAGTGTATTCACTTTTTATGCTCTGCCATGAATATGGGCGGGGCATATAGAGTTTGTCATGACCATCTTCTGTTCTTCCATCTGTCCTGTCGCACTTAGTTAGCGTTTAGCTCAGTTTAAAGCTCTGTTTCAAAGAAACTATTCAAGATATTTTTATCAAACGTCATATGCTAATACATATTGTTGAGAGCCATTCAACTGCATCAACTTTTTTTGACCTTGACCTTTCCTTTGACCTTGACCCCACTTTTCTTAAATTAGTGTTTAGCTCAGTTTTAAAGAAACCATATATGGTATCTTTATAAAAACTTAAAGGGTACCTGCAGTGGCTATTTATTTTTAAATATGTTGAAGATCATGCTAAGATAAGACTCAAGAAAAAAACTGCACCGAAATCTATGCACAACTAACGAAGCTATTGGGGAAAAACCCTATTTCACACCTGAGCGATTCTCTGAAACGCTCGGTTTTTGGGCCTTAGCCGCTGTGACGTCACAACATGTACCGGCCATTTTGAATGCATAGAATAGAGTGGAAACACGATGAGGATTTTTAGTGTTTTTTCATTAATTTTTAGGGATTTTGTGAATATTAAATTAACTATGACTATAGTATTAGTTCTTAGTTTTGTTTGAAATTAGTTTAGTGGATATTTTTTTCAATATTTCTTTTTGTGTGGTTATAATAAGTAACGATACTAGGAATCGCCAATAATCATCGATTCATATTTTCCAATAATTAGGAATCGATGGATTATGCCAATTATATCATCATTTTTTCCCCTCCCGAATACGTATTGACATTTTTTAAAATTCTATTTGTAAGCAATAATCACAAAAAGACAGTACACAAACGTACGTTAATAAAAGAAAAGATTTCTAATTTAAGGATATGTGAACCTGACGATTTTGAACCTACTGCGCAACTCGAACTGCTGAAGATCAGGTCAATGTCGTGATCATACGTAGCGCGTTTGGTTTTGCTATTAAACTATTCTAAAGGATCGTAAACACCGAATTCCTTGTGAAATAAAATCAAATTAAATTAATATTGCATGTTTTCATAAATTTTTGCTTTTTGCTTGTTCTTCCGACCTCGGAGCATTTACGACATACCCTTGCCGTTTTGCGACACCATGTCGGTAGAGAGGGACGCAACGATATATTTGCACAGAAAACCCAGCATATATTCCAGTAAAGGGTTATATTTAGGCAAGAAATATAGAGATTGATGCTGTTAGGTTTCGTGCAACAACTTCCCAAGCGATGTCACCTCTGAATACAGTATCACGATGCACTACATGGTTTCAGGTTAGTAAAAATAAACAGCAGAATAAACATGCACCAAACAGAATGATAACTTCACACCTTATATACTTATTCTTTGGTTGTAATTAATATCATTATAGCATCATCGACATTCATTTTCTTACTAACCGGGATTTACATCATTCACGTCAGTTTAAACTTTTTAATTTAAGCTTTAATTTAAAATTGCAGAAAATCTGCCAAATTTTCCTATACAGTTACATATATATAGATATCTCGCTCATAAATTCACACAGATGGGAAAAATAAACATCTAGCATGACATTAGTGAGCTCTGAGTATAATATTTGGTGCCAAATATTTTGTACTTGTGTTTTTCAGACTTGAAAATATACAGTTGCATAAAATATTTACCTCTTGGGTTGCTTTAAAGTCTTAATTCTTAGTGGGATCAAAATTTTCCTTCATTTATGAATATGGAATTATAATATAATCTGAAGTGACATTTCTAAGATAAACATTGTAATTCAGGGTTCGACACTAACGGTGGACCGGCGGCCCAAGTCCACCAAAAAATTGGAAGGTCCACCAAATGTTCTGGACTAGGTGGACCGTTGGTCCACTTAAAAATTAAACACCATATTTAAAAAAAACAAACAAACCGTAATTCCACTTTTTCTATAAATCGACATCCGTAAATCAACGATTAATTCATCCATACTTATATTTTACAAGAAATAAATAGGGTATAATTTATTTTGGGTAATCAGGGGAACCTAGCAACTAAATATATATTTTACATGTAATATTGATGACTACAATATCAATAACATTGACTGCAAGAACTTTCAACACAGACCTTGAAAAAGAAGCATGTAAAATTCGAGCCAAATTGGTCAGTCTGTCCTTTGTTTGTTTAATGCACAGAAAGGTGTGAAAATATACACTGGGTAACAGGAAATCACTTCACGCCTGACTTTTTGATGGCCAGGTTTGGAGATAATGAGAATTGATTGACAGCTGCATTTATGCATTGTCCTCAAACAGGTGTGATTTATATTTTATGAATACGTTATCTGCAGTTCCTGTTTTTTTTCTGCTATACATTATATCACATAAAAGAATCATATGATCGCATTTTATTTGAATAAATAATAATTTAAAAAAAAAAAAAATAAATAAATATACTTTTGTCAGTTTTGCATCGTTGTAAAAAGTATTCTAGCCATAGATACATGAAAAATTCATTTGTTTATATGAACAACTCAATTATTGGGATTATAAATTGTATCTACCTTTGGAAGCTAAATAAATGCAGGTTTTTACCATTGTAAATAAATTATATTAAAATAACAAATTGTTTGAAGATGTAGATTGTGTTCTTTTTTTTAAATATTGAAAATATGTTTCACAATATTGCTAAAAACTCCTGACTAATTGATTTGTTTCTGTTGACCGGTTAAACTTGTACTTTATTAGTCTGATGAGACTGGGTACATAAGTTGGTTTCAAGCCTTGTGTAATGAATTCATTCATTAATTCAAACATTTATAAAGGTCCACCAGAATTTGAGAAGGTCCACCAATATTTTTTGACTAGTGGACCTGCGGTCCACCAAGGTAAAAAAGTTAGTGTCGAACCCTGGTAATTAGTTTTTGTTTACTAGAGTCAAACTATCAAATTGCACTTCACTAGCCAAGTGACAAACTTAATGATAAACAATTCAGTATGATGTATGTCTGTGCAATACAAGATATGACTTATTAAAAAATGATGGGTTATGTACTTAGCCTAAGAAATGAAGTAATGTGGGGAAAAAAGACTTGATCAAAAAGTGTTCATAATTTTTTTTAAGACAACAAATTGACCAATTTTATTCTTATTTCAAAATGACTCCTTTTCTTGAGTGAGCTTGAACACTGTGGTGACTTTACACATTCATTCATTAGTCTTTGTTGTTGGTTATGGATGCTTATATGCTGCATAATTCTTTTAGAATTTTGGAATTGTATGAAAATTTTAATAAATAATAATTAGCACTTTTTATTATTATATCAATTTCAGATAAAGGAAGGAAGATGTTTTAGAGAGAGATAATTCCCAAAACAATGTGAGATTACAGATTATGGAAGATTGCTGGGCATTATGACAAACAAAGGTCTGATTAAACATTAAATATCCTTTTGCCATTCAATCATTTGGAAACAATTTAACTTCAAGACCTATGGCTTTGGATCTCTACTAAAATAAATTTTAGCAAATGAATAATTATACTGCTTTAAATGATGTAACTGTTCTATGAAATTATAAAAGCAGATATGTTTTGCTAACATTGATTGAAATCATAAAAGCTGTACATGTAACATGAGTTGCTTTGGAATTTGGCACTTACTTTTCCTTGTTATGCTAAAGCTTTTTACTTACTACCGGTAATAACTAATTGACATTGATTGTACATATTCAAATAATATCTATAAAATTTACTTGTAAATTGAATATATTTGTGACTGATTTGTTATTTGTACAGGTATCAAGGAGGAAAATGAACAATGTAGGTCAGCAGTCAAAATCTCTCAACTTATTCAACTCTTAGCAGCATGTTCCTATGGATCCAGATGCATTAAAAGATTTCTATTGTGTTGCAACCAATGGAATAGGTAGGAATGAATTAATTTTATTAAAAAAAAAAATGGGTTCACTATGCATTCAATTCTGGTGGTGGTGGTGATGGGGAGGGGAGGGTAATATATTTTTCTGGCCTTCAATAAGGACAAAATATTTATTTCCCAGCTCACCAAAGACAAATTGTGACAGCAAGATTATTATTTTATTTTCACTGGAATAAATTAGACAAAAGAAAAAAAATCTTCGCAGTGGAGAAGAATTTTTTTTATTTTATTAACATCTTCTAGGTCAGATTATTTCCAAAATCTGCCCTCAGAATCAAAAGGTCCTCCCTTTAACTTGCTAGCAAGATACTAGAATTTATAAAAATATAACTTTTTGAAGCCTCATTAGACTAGTAGTCATATTTCATAAATAACTGGAAAGGTGTCAAATTATTAAAATGTTATGTAGTAATGTAGTAAATTTTAAATAGGCATCATATACAGTTGAACTTTGATATCTCGAACACTGATATCTCGAATACCATGGATATGTCGAAGTGATTTGGAAGTCTCAACTACTTATCCTTAAAGTATTTTACCCCTTATATCTTGAATGCTCGGATGTCTCGAAGTTTTTTCTCAGGCCCATCTAGTTCGAGATAATAAGGTTTGACTGTATTTACAATTTTACTTGTATACTATATATATATATATATATATATATATATATATATATATATATATATATATATATATATATATATATATATACCCATAAGATAAACCTATGCTGTATCCATGGGTATGTGCTTTATCAATAGCACGTCTTCCGGTTTCGACACAATCCCTAGGCCTCGCTTCAAACTTAAATGTAAACTTATCGAAACTTCTAATTGTGAAAGTTCTGTGTTATCAAATGAATGCTAATGAGCAAAAATGTTCATTAAAAATATTAAAAATGAGAAAAAAACTAATTACACTTCCGTGAAATGTCAAAATTTATCAATGTAATGGCTACAGTGATAAAGGATGTTACCCCCCCCCCCCCCCCCCCCCCCCCACCACCACCACCACCACACACGCAATTGCTCTCATAGGAAATGTTAGACCTAGCAGTTAAGTTGTAGTTGGAATATATTGGAAAGCCTCGCGAATATACACCATTCAACTCATTGGATGATGCAAATATCAAATCACACAATATAGATATCCTCTATATATCCATGTCTACTTATCATTAAGGTTAACACAAATGGATTTTATTTTCCAGGCTAAGAATCACACTGTTTTGCCTCTGTCACCAAAGACTGAAATGTTTACTTCAAAAGACCTTCACCTGCAGTTATTAATATTTCAACAAAGTTCGTGGCCCAAAAAAGCTTGCAGTTGAAAAGGAAAGGAAAGATGAAAAAAATTCACTATGTCATAGAAGCTAGCTTTACTAGAACTATGTAGAAACTTTTGTCAAGGTTAAAAATCATTTTGTATAAACAGAACTAACAGTTATTGATCGAACTTTTTAACAGGGATATTTTAAACTGGTGATTGTTATCTTTATATGTTGAACATTTTAATACTATTTCCAATTAGATTATGCAAAAATATGTCATTTGTATCAGATAATGTTTATAAGTGTTAATGTGAGTTTAAACAGAGGAAATTCGGACTGCAATTTTTGGGGAATTAGATTATGAAAATACACTACTTTTATAAAGGATTAATTTAGATCCTTTTGTCCCATATTCTAATACATTGTACATTCAATGGTTAAAAGTTCCTTGTATAGAAATTTAATGGGAATTCATTGTTCGTTTTATCTACCATCATTCAAAATAAAAAAGAAATGTTTAAAGGAAAATAGGAAATCGGGGTGATAATTATCTTAATTATTAAAGACCGATTCATAATTTTCTTTATATGCATGATTTTTAGTTTTATTTCAAGATATTTATATATTTAAAATCAAATTAAATAATTTTTTTGTTTGATTTTTTATACATCAACACAGATAAATGTGCTCTAGGAATCAGTTTTTAAAAAATGTGGTCAGAGAAAATTCAGATTACCATATCTTTTTTTTTCCAATTCATGTACATACCAATTTTTTTCCTCTGTTACATAGCTATATATCACTTCTTTAAAATGAAGTTGAAAAATAAAATATTCAGTTATACCCAGTGTGATTTTATAACCTTTTTTGTAGTCAAGGGCAAGGAAATATAGTCAAATTTAAAGAGGGCAGAGAAAATTCAGACTGTGATAGTGAGCTATATAAATATGATAGCTATGAAAAAAAGCTTAGATCACTGAAGTTGTCCACAGACCTTTTGAATATTTGCAAAAAACAACTTCTACTTATATTTTGTTTCCATTTTATAGCCTTTTTTTTTTTTTTTTTTTTTTTACAGATCATGTATCAGAAGTAATTTTTTAAAAGTGATCAGAGAAAATTTGGATTACCATATCTTTTTTCCGACTCGTGTACAACCCATTTTTTTCCCTCCATTACTTAGCTCTATAACACTACTTTAAAATGGAATTTAGAAATTAAGTTTTTAATTATAGCCAATGTGATTTTATATCCTTTTTTATAGTCAAGGTCAAGGAAAAATAGTCAAATTTTAAGAGGGCAGAGGAAATTCAGACTGTGATTGTGAGCTATGTAAATATGAAAGCTATGAAAAAAAGCTTAGATCACTGAAGTTGTCCACAGACCTTTTGAATATTTGCAAAAAACAACTTCTACTTATATTTTGTTTCCATTTTATAGCCTTTTTTACAGATAATCATGTATCAGAAGTAATTTTTTAAAAGTGGTCAGAGAAAATTTGGATTACCATATCTTTTTATCCGACTCATGTACAACCCATTTTTTTCCTCCATTACTTAGCTCTATAACACTACTTTAAAATGGAATTTAGAAATTAAGTTTTTAATTATAGCCAATGTGATTTTATATCCTTTTTTATAGTCAAGGTCAAGGAAAAATAGTCAAATTTTAAGAGGGCAGAGGAAATTCAGACTGTGATTGTGAGCTATGTAAATATGAAAGCTATGAAAAAAAAAAACTTAGATCAATAAAGGTGTCCACAGACCTTTTATATATTTGCAAATAACTACTTCTTCTTATATTTTGTTTCAATTTTATTGCCTTTGTTACAGATAATCGTGCATCAGAAGTAATTTTTTAAAAGAGGTCAGAGAAAATTCAGATTACCATATCTTTTTTTCTGACTCATGTACATACCAATTTTTTTCCTCTGTTACATAGCTCTATAACACTACTTAAAAATGGAATTTAGAAATTAAGTTTTTAATTATAGCCAATGTGATTTTATATCCTTTTTTGAAGTCGAGGTCAAGGAAAAATAGTCAATTTTTAAGAGGACAGAGGAAATTCAGACTGTGATTGTCTGCTCTCTGAACATGACACCTATAAAAAAAATTTACTACATTATGCTCATTCTTAAATCTTTAAGATAACTGCAAACAATTAAATTCTAATCGTAATTTATGAGATTTTTTTTAACTTTAATTAATTACAGTAGACTTTTCTTCATAGCTTTAATCTTTTGAAACAAGGGCAAGTTCAGAGGTTGTTGCCATGGAAACCAACTCATGTACATATATCAGAATTGTTGTTTTTTGAACAAGGGACTTGTCCTCTATGCAACGGTACATATTTTTTAACTTTCCAATTACTTTTATTTCAGGTTCACATATCCTTAAATAAAAAATAGTAAGTACAGGGTTAGTTTATAGGTCCCTGGTAAGTATTTTTATGATGTTTGCTGTTGTATTCTTTGAAAAGTGAAAGTATAGAATATATATTTTTCTATTATTTAGTATTGGGAAAAACAGAGAATTAATATGAGAGAGTGAGAGATTCCCTTGTTAACCCCCCTCCCCATATAATTGATTCAACAAATGTTATTTAATTTTATATTCTTTGTTATATCTTCAATATCAGTAACATTTGTATTATTAAATTGGATTGTTCATTTTTAACATCAGTTGAATTTATTAGTACCCCCCCCCCCCCCCCCAACACACACACACATAATTTTTTGATTCAAACAAGTGTTTCTGTATTCATCTTTCTTACATAATCTGTCAAAGCCATTTCTAAATAAATTTCTTGTTTATTCAACTTTCGTTTATTCGTGTTTCTTATATTCCTGCACCAGGGACCTGTAACATGTTCGTCTCCGTGGTTACGTACAAAATCCACGTGTTTCACCTGTCAATCAAAATCACTCGACGCAATCTTGAATGCTGCGATTTGAGACATTCTTCGGCTCCTTTGCCAAATACATAGTGGGACATAAGTAATAGCCGGAGGCACCGAATGTTTATCACACCTTTCCAAGTCATCGGTCTTGACCATAGCAAGTGTATTAATCACGTAATCCCAAGTCCTACCCCACCACACGTGTAAATTAAACTGATTACCAAGAACTTGTTGAAAAATCTGATAGATTAAATATTTTACACTTTAATTAATTAAAACTGTTTAGCCTGTCAAAATCTGATTTGTACACAGTTTTAAAAAAATATACAAAACACAAGTATATTCACCTAACTTTTTTTCATATTTTACTGATCAGAATTATAATAGATTTTCTGTTGAATTAGTGATAATTAAAAAAATGAATTTTTTTACTCAGTTTACATGTTATTCTTCTAAATTCAACATACATTTAGAATTTAAATTATTCATAAAACCGCTACGATCGGAATTACATAAATTATGAGTTTTGTTTCCGAATCTATTACAGATTTGATAAAGGGAGGGGGTCTTCTGTAATTAGGACCATAGACTATTATTTGAAGAACTGGGTACTTTACAGTTTTGCACTTTGTATGCATATTTTTTTAACCTTAATGTTTTTTTAATTATATCAAAGATATCTGAAGACTACATAAGAAAGATATGATGAGAGAGAGAGAGAGATGAGAGGGGTTAAGATTTATTTAGCATTGCAGACACACTATTTGATATAATGTAACATGTTTTAAATTTTTATTTTGTAAATTAATTTTAATTAGTACAGTGACAAAAAAAAATTATAAGTACATTACCATAATTAGGAGTACGTGGGTATCATTATTTAACAATTAGTTTTAATTACTTGTATATTGAGAATGATCGACCCGATTTTTGAAAATATATTTGGTGCTTTATATACTTTGAAGTAAAATTAAATTGATAATATTGTTGCTGCTGATTGCTAAATGGTAACAACTGATTATCAAATTTAGACATAGAAGAATTTTTTATCCAAACGAGAAAATTGTCAATTATCATTAAGCCGATAGTTATGAAGATCTTGAGGAAATAGTTAACAGGTTGATGAACGAATTATTTTAGGACATTGAAAATATAGAATTGAAAATTCCCGTATTTTGTTTTTGATGATTTTTTTCCAGTCATATTCAGTAGGCTGTAACAGGGAGCTATATACAGGAACTTTAATTGTAGTATACACGACCCTGGCTGTAGGCTGTTTTGAAATCTAAATTCCTCCTTAGAATCGGTTTCTGGTTCAGCCTAGTAAGGTCTGATGCAAAGCTCAATAATTATTCCGTCTGAATTTTTAAAACTTGTACACCAATGCCTCATATCAAAGCTAAAATCGTCGTTGGTTTCCAAGTTAATCTCATCGTCGTTAATACTGACCCGCTTATACGGTAAATGTTGTGACGTCACGCCAGTAGAGCCTCGTTCTCGATCATTTCTATTTTTGCTTGATTGGATTTTCATAACAGGTAAAAATAGGCACTTTTAAAGCGCGATAGCTTCGTTATTTGTGCATAGATTTCGATGCGGTTTTTTTTCTTTCGTATTATTTTATTGTGATCTTTATCATTTCAAAAAATAAAACACTACTGCAGGTAATCTTTAATATGCTAATACACATTAATGTAAGCTTTTCAACTTCATCAACTTTTTTTCACCTTGTGGTTTCTTTTGACCTTGACCTCACTTTTCTTAAATTAGTGTTTAGCTCAGTTTTAAATAAACCATTCAAAATATTTTTATCAGACTTAATATGATGGTGCATATTAGTGAGAGCTATTCAACTGCATCAAAAACTTGACTTTTACCTTTCCTTGGACCTTGACCTCCTTTTTCTTAAATTTGCATTTTGCTTAGTTTTAAAGAAAACCGTTTTAGATATTTTTATGTAAGCTTATACACTTATACATAATTTGGTGAGAATTTATCATCTTTATCTAACAGGGCTCGACATTAACTTTTTTCCTTACTTGTCCATTCGGAAAAGTGACCAAGACATTTACTTGTCCGAACTTCAACTTCACTTGTCCGAAAATTTTTCAATAAAGATCTAATACTGTCAACTTGAAAAGTGAAAACTAAAATAAAGTCCATTACA